TGGCGTGGGTGTGAGCTCAAGGCCTGGCGTGGGTGTGAGCTCAAGGCAGGGTGTGGGTGTGAGCTCAAGGCCCGGCGTGGGTGTGAGCTCAAGGCAGGGCGTGGGTGTGAGCTCAAGGCAGGGTGTGGGTGTGAGCTCAAGGCCCGGCGTGGGTGTGAGCTCAAGGCACAGTGAGCGCCCCGAGTCTTGTCCTCGCCGGCCCACCTGAGAAGCGGGCATGGAGTTCCCTGCCGGCCGCCCGGCCGCCCCTCCTCGCTGCTGTGCTGCACGCGTGCTGTCGGCGTGCTGCGGGGCCCGTGGCGTGTGCCCTGGAGCGGGGCTGGAAGCGGATGAAGGCCTGTAGGCACTTCCTGAGCAGCGACAGTCACTTGCTTTGCGGGCGCTCCGCGATGCCAGGCACGCACGCCTGGGTTCGAGCCCAGGTTCACATACATGACGCGCGCTGCGCTTCCCCAGCCACGCGCCCTCAGCCTCCGGAGCTGGAAACCCGTGCCGCGCACTGCAGCACCAGCGGCTCCTCACCACCCATGCCGCGGCCAAACCACCCCAACGCCATGGCCCCAGACCAGAGGAGGGGCAAGGTCACCTCTGATTGGGAGCCACTAAGATGGCTAACCAGTCTACGGCCATACCACCCTGAACGCACCCGCTCTCACCTAATACAGCTGATGACTCAGGACCAAGCGTCTACGTACGCATTTGATTGTTATTGTGTGACTAGCTCTAAGTGCGAAACGTTAGATTTGAATGTAAATATGACATGCCGTTTTAATTTCTATTGATTTCTATTATTAATTCTATTTCTATTAGTTTCTTCTAACATACCATACAAATCCAACGAATACTTATGGAAAAATTGGGAAACGCAGCCCAGGTGTAAGGAGGGCCTGTGGCCACTGGGTGGCAGCAAGTCCTTGTCTTCATTTCCACGCCCAGCAGCTCAGGTTCAAACTGGAAAAGTGCTCAGGGGCTGTTCTTGGAGAGCCCAGGCTGGGAGCAGGGCGGGCACCGCACCGCCGGTGGTGTGAAAGGCAGAGAGCACTGGGCGCCAGCCTCCTCCGGTGGACCCACCCTGAGCCTCCCAGTGCTGCTCTCCCTCTGGCCCTAAAGTCCCACAAGCCAGCTCTGTCCAGCTCCGAACGAAACAGGAGCTTCTCTTATACTTTCCTATTTTCTGCGTGCTCTATAGCTTTTTCATTTTCTAACCCGTTTGCCACGAGCCTGGGTTGATTGTAAGTTCAGAGTGGGAAACGCGGCTGTGTGCCGTTCACAGAACGTCCGAGTGTGCGTCTTCTCTTGGCTCTCTCACGTTGTGGGTGGAAGTCTCTCATTCCGGTCAGAAGCCGGGAACGGAGCCATGTGCCAGGCAGCCACGGCCGTGTCCGACGATGGTCCGTGGGGAAGCGAGGGTGTGCACAGTCGTGTTGTACGGGGCTTGAAAACCTGCTTTACAAGTCGGCCTGACTCTGGGCCTACCATTTGTCTGAGATGGGACTTCAGGCTGGTAGTCTTCCTCCCGGGGGCCCAGGCTCCTCAAGCAGAGACCAGAGACTAGATCACCTCCTCCACAGCCAGCGTGTGGACCCCAGAGAAGAGGCAGGGAGAAGGCACCGCTGGCACGTGGTGCTGGGACACTGCCAACAGCTCTTTTCCCCTAAGTACCAGGCTCTGGGTAGACTGCACGGCTGGTTTAATCTAGTCGGTACAGTGGAGACACAGAGGCAGTTGACTGACCTGCTCTTAGCAATTAAGCGATGCTTTTGTTATAGCAGACATTTTGCCAATCATAAATGGAAGGTGACTAGACAAGGAGAGATGCCTCTTTGGATTGTTCCTGTAAAACATCCATTTCTTTGCCATAAAATGGTAGCTTTTGCACAAGTGTACTTTTCTTTAAGAAATGAGTTGTCTAAGCCAGAGTGGTGAAGGCTTGAGGCAGAGCATCGGTACTCCAAGGCGAGTCCACATAATACATATGTGCACATATCTATACACATGTACACACACATACACACACACATACATATATGCATACAGACAGACACATGAGTATATAGAGAACCAATTGTCTATATGTACCCACCTCAATTTATTGTGGCTATTCTGCATACTTGAGTTTTATAGAGTTACTAATTTTTTTTTTTTTTTTTTTTTTTGTGGGGCTGGAACTCAAGGCCCAGGCGCTGTCCCTAAGCTTCTCTGGGCTCAAGGCTAGCGCTCTACCACTTGAGCCACAGCGCCACTTCTGGCTTTTTGTAAGTAGTTCATTGGAGAGAAGAGTCTCATGGACTTTTTCTGCCTGGGCTGGCTTTGAACATCGCTCTCAGCCTCCGGAGTAGCTAAGGTGACAGGCAGAAGGCACCAGTGCCCAGCTGGGTTACTAATGTTTTTGAGACTAATACTTCATAACCTCTTAATTAGAAGAGACCACGGTGCAGCATGCTGCCCATGATAACAGGATTCTCAAAGGGAAACGCAAGCACCGCAGACCTGAGCTCCCCCCCCCCCCCGTGCGTGCGCTCTTCTCTAGATGTTATTATTCAAATGCAAATAACATGTACTGTGTTGTCACAGCTTCTCCTACCTTGCGAAGCTGTTGCTAATGGTGTGCTGCTAGCGCAGGGGCTGAGCTGGCAGAGCCGGGTTTAATATAAGCGCCTCCCTCACTAGAGTCATCCTGGAAACGTCAGTGTCCGTCACCCGTCCTGGTTCTCCTGTGAGTGTGTGGCCGTCCGTCACCCCGTCCGTCACCCCGTCCTGGTTCTGACGGGAGGTGTGTGGCCGTTCGTCACCCTGTCCTGGTTCTCATGGGAGTGTGTGGCCGTCCGTCACCCCGTCCTGGTTCTGACGGGAGGTGTGTGGTCCTCGTTGAACCTCACACACGCAGACGCCAGCCAAGTTTCTCAAAGTTCATCACACTTTGTTAAACTGGTTGGATAAACGTTTGGAGACGTTAACCGTATTCTTTTGTGAACGTTCCCCGTCCTTGTCTGTCCGTCCATCCATCTGCAATGACCCCAGGACCCCCTCGGAGCCCCGCCCTCCTCCCACCTCCCTCCATTGGTGGCCTCTTCTTGGCATGGAAATTCCGGAATAATTTCACTGCGCCAAGGTAACTGTAGAAAACTCCATCTGCTACATGTGCCTGGCTAGGTATTTCATCGCAATTAGTTCAGGCTGCCTTCGAGTCTCCAGAACCCAGTGAGGCTTTTCTCAGGCCTAAGTCCATGGCTGGAACATGGGGGGGGGGGGGGGGGGGGGGGGGGGGGGGGGGAGGGGTTGAGAGTGCTCATGACAGAGAGAGGGGGAGGAGAGAGAGAGATAGAGACAGGGGGAGGGAAACGGAAAAGAGGGTGGGAGAGAGGAGAAATAAAGGAGAAATCAGAAGAGAAAGAAGAGTGGAGACAAGAGGGAAGAGTAAACAGGAGAGAAGAGACAGGAAGCAGAGTGAGGAGAGGAGGCGAGAACAAGAAGGGAGGGCTGGGAAGGTGGCTCAGTGGTAGAGCGCTTGCCTTGAGCTGAAGAGCTGAGGGACAGCGCCCAGACCCCACGACCCAACACCCCCCCCCCAAAAAAAAGAAGGGGAGAGAAGAGGAAGAGACGAGAGGGACGGACGAGAGGAGATGCAAAGAGCAGTAGCAGAGGAGAAAGAAAGAGGGGAGAGAGAAGGGACAGAAGAGGGGGTGGCAGAGAAAAGAGGAGAGCCAGAGAGGAAAGAGGCTGAGAAAGATGGGGGGGAGATGAGAAAGAAACGGAGAGGGAGGAGAGAGGAAGAGGGGGAGGAGAGAATGAGAGGTAGAGGAGAGAGGAAAGGAAGGAAACGGGAAAGAGGAAGAGAAGCGATCAGAGAGAGGAGGGAAACGAGGAATGAGAAGGAGGTAAGGAAAGAGGGAGAGGAGGGAGAAGCGGGGGAGTGGTGGGAGAGGCGGGGGAGAGGAAGGAGAGGAAAGGGGAGAGGAGGGAGAAGCGGGGGAGAGGAGGGAGAAGGGCAAAATGAGAGAGCAAAAACGAGAGAGGAGGGGAGGGGGGAGGAATGGAGGGGGTGGAGAGGCCGCCCTTGTGTAATTTGTGCCGTTGCAGTTCAGGCAACGTTGCCTTCCAGATCTACTCAGACGTAATCGTCCATCACCATTTCTCTTTCTTCCATTAATTCGTTCACTTCAAGTTACTTCTTTTCCAGACACATCCACTTAACATTTTTGAGCTAGACTCTTGTGTTCGGTTGCGTTCTTTCTCGGGACTGTTCCCGGCCCTCCCAACCAGCGGGGCTGTGTGGGTGTCTGTCCTTCCTGCACCGGGCCCTCGGGCTGTCAGCTTGACCGCTGCCACGCTCTGCAAATGGCATGGGGTCTGCGGGGCATGCGCATGCGTCCTGGCGACAGCCTCGGCACAGCGCCCTCGGCACAGCGCCCTCGGCACAGCACCCTCGGCACAGCGCCCTCGGCACAGCGCCCTGGCGACAGCCTCGGCACAGCGCCCTCGGCACAGCGCCCTCGGCACAGCGCCCTGGCGACAGCCTCGGCACAGCGCCCTCAGCACAGCGCCCTCGGCACAGCGCCCTGTCTGCTCGCCGTCTCCAGACCCGCCCAGACTGCTCTGCGAACCTCTGGATGAGAAATATTTTAGGGTGGAGAGGCACAAACTCTGCCCTGGATTTTCTTCCTTGTTTATCCAAACAAACAAACCAACACACCTCAAGAAAATCCTCCTTAACTGATTTTGAGCCAAACCAGGCTGAAGACCAAAACGGGCCGAAGGCTCACTGACTGTGCCCAGCACCCCAGAACCCCAAACCGCACTTGGCTGTGTTACTTGCAAATGACATCGCACTCACCTGCTGTCCCAAAGGGCGCTGGAAACAAGCGTGGCGCAGAGTTCCCTCACGGCTGGCTGTCTCTGAGAGCCACGGTTTTGTTTAGGCCGTTGCGGCGTGGGTTACTACCTGGCACCGCGTGGGATTCCTGTCTGACACACCGCTCCCGTACTTCATTTGTCTCTAACTTCCTTTAACTGTCATTTGTCTCTGACTCCTGTTGTAGCCTACTCTGTGTCTGCACTAAGCAAGGAAGCAAATAACCTCATCCCAAAGATTCTCCTTCAAATTAGGGAGTTACGCCCACAGGACCAGCCACAGGCGCCACTAACTTCCAGCAGTGCCCGTCAGCAGCCGCCTCTTCTCCACGTCCTCCTGGGCCTCTAGGTGTGCCACCACCCCACGCTCTGACAGCCTGCACTGGCCAGGGGTGTTCTCCTAATCTACAGACGCTTTGAGTCGTCCCTGGGTCCGAGAGAAATTCCTCTCTCAACACATTGCTGTTTCTATACTCCACCCCCCCCAAGGACCTAGAAACGAGCACCACTAAAAAACGTATGCGGAACACATGCACGCACGTGCGCGCGCGCGCACACACACACACACATCTTGCTAATTTTATGTAGGTGACTTCAACCTCCCAATAAGATTTAAGAAAGTTGTTAGAATTCTTTAACTGTCTCTTGCCTATTTCTCGAAGGCAGCCCTGGCCGGGGTGAGGCTTTGTTCCCCCAAATCTCATCTCACCTGTTTCTGGTCAAGTGACAATTTTGAAAGATCTTCATGACTTCCCAGAATTCCAAGTTTCTTTTCTTCTTTACTCTTTTAAAGACAGTAAAATGAGTACAATTACAGCGCCAAATCCACTCTTCATTCTGCAGTCTATAAAGCCATCTGGCGCAACTCCCCAACAGGGATTTTGTCTAAGATGAGGGCTGCCCTCACTATCTGACACTTGCTTTTGGTCACTGGCTGGTGCTCTACCACCTGATCCACACTCCCAACCCCCCACCTCCTTTTTGAGTTCTTCCTTTGGTAAGTGCTTAAACATTTCCTCTCCTCAGACCTGCACTCTTCATTATGTGATGGGAAACAGCTTCCTCAGGCCTGGCAGAATGCTGTGGACATCTGTAGTGAAAACTAGCCAACCTAGACCTTACAATCGGCCTGAGCGCTGGTGTGCCGGCAGCACGGGCATGCGCATCCCTGCCCAGCTTCCTCTGCCAATTCATCTGACTCCTTTATGTTGTGGTGATCATTTCCTCCTGCATTAATACGGTGGAGGAATCCAGGATAAGAACGTTCTAGAACTCCAGAGGGGATCAGCTGGTGCCCCCAGACCGTTCCTTCCCCAGCTATGGGCTGAAGACGCTCAGCTCCCACATCGTATGTGAGCAACCGAGTTCAGAACTTTTCAACGTAGACGTGAGGTCCTGCCAGCCGTAAGTAACCGTGATACTTCACGTTGCTCTATAAGCCACTGGGAAAGCGACTGTCACCAGAACAGCAAAGGTGGACCCCGCAGCGTGGGAAGGGGGGAGGCCCGTTTAGCACCTGCTGTGCCCGGCATGTCATTGCTGGGATGTTGCATGAACTCAGGTAGAAAGCGTCCAGCGGCTCACACTAGGAGGCCTGTGCTGGACCAAGCGGCTGGGCGGGGATGGGTGAGCCCTGCGAGGGGGACGGTGATCTGGCCTACGTGACCAGGCCCGGCCCGTCGCACACCGGGCCTGCCTGTCGGCGGTGACCGGGTGAGGGCGTTCAACTCCCCGTTACCTCGTTCATCTCCGCGTCCTCCCGGAAGCCTTTTCTGTGCCCCACAAACAGCTCCGAAACCCACTTCTTCAACTTGACTAGGAGATAGAAGAGGGACTTGGGGCTGGGCACCAGGTTGAACGGGACCGGCAGCGTCCTGCCCTCCTCGAAGTAGGAGAACCAGAGCTTGGCCCTGGCGAACTTCCACTCCACGTCAGCATCGTCCTGTGCACAACACACAGCCGCTCAGAAAGGGGGTGTGGTGGGGGTGCGTGCCCAGCCCCCCTGGGGGAGGGTCAGCGCACCGCTGACCACCTGGGCAGATATGGTGGCATGGCCACCAGCAGATCAGGCCTCAGAGATTTCTCTGTGTGCAGAGGTTCTGCACACGCACATGCATGCACGCACGCCTTTGCTGTGTAACGCCTAAGCTTACTGGACTCAAGTCTCCAATGTGGGGAGGAACGGCTTCTGGGCTCCGTGCTCACTCATCTGAGCCGCCTGCCTGTGCTCTGTTGCCATACTATTAAAAAAAGCTCGCATGCCTTCATACATACGAAGACAAACGTTAACGTGTTTCCCCACGTTCTAAACCAACACTGACAGCATCCTCTCTCACTCTTCTATAGACTGACTGCCCGCCAAACAAGACCCAGATGAAGATCTGGAATAGAGATTTGTACTACTTATTCTCAACTTGGAAATGGATCTATTTGGAGGTGCTACCCAAAACAGGAGGCAACAGAAATGTGTGGAAGCATTGGTACTTGAGTAACAATCCATGCTCGCACTGTATTTCTTCGGTCTATGAATTAGACGCGTCTAACTTCTTTTGTTCATCGTCCTGCCTACAGGCAGAGTGAGAATGCTCTGGCTTACTTATCGAGCAGGCATATGAAAGAGGAGGGAAGAGCGGAGGAGAGGTAGTGGACACCTGTCCCCTGCCCGCTGCCGCTTTGCTCTCTGGGACGCCTCTAACCCGTCCGAGCAAAGGCAGGCACGCCGGCCTGGCGTACCTCGATCTCCTGGAAGGAGCTGTTGATCATGGCGATGAGCATGTTCAGCAGCACGATGACCATGGTGACATTGTAGACACCGTACAGCACGTAGCCGATGTTCTCGATGAACTTGTGGTTGTAGTTGATCACCACAGACTTCACCTCCGAAAGCCCGAAGATGGCCCAGAACAGCGTCTTAAAGCTCTCCTCCACGCTAGGGGACAGTCACAGAAAATAAGGAGATGCAGACTCTCGTGTAAGAATTACAACCGCATGACGTTTGGATTGACTCTGTATCTTTGCAAATTGTTAAGGATTCATGGAAAAAAATTTTTTTTTTTTAGCCAGTGTGGGGCTTGAACTCTGGGCCTGGGCGCTGTCCCTCAGCTCTTCAGCTCAAGGCAAACGCTCTACCACTTGAGCCACAGCGCCACTTCCAGTTTTCTGGTGGTTTACTGGAGATAAGAGTCTCACGGACTTTCCTGCCTGGGCTGGCTTTGAACTGCGATCCTAAGATCTCAGCCTCCTGAGTAGCTAGGATGACAGGCGTGAGCCAACAGCGCCCGGCTTCATGGAAGATTCTTTACTTGCCTGAACCGCTGTGTCCTTCTGGGCTGAATGTGCAGGATGACGTATTTTGGGGAAGAACACGGTCATACCAAACAAACTATCTGGCACAGAACAGGTTCTCAGTAAAGGCCAGCCTCCCTTCACCATCACACCTCCTAACATTTGAAAGAATCAAACTGCTTTGTCCACAGACTTGTTAAGTATTTTGCTTATTAATAAAATACAAATTGCTAGTCTTCCTAGTTTTCTGATCCATCTGTACTTTTACTCCTACCCAACAGAAAATACAGGCGTCTTGAAGGAAACATGTCAGCCTGGACTTACACAGCACCCCTGCATCCCAGAACTCAGTGCTGCATGGATTGGAGGGCGGAGCTAAGCCCCCTGGCCAACCAGGCGGTCCCTTCCCCTGGGTGGAGCTAAGCCCCCTGGCCAACCAGGTAGTCCCCTCCCCTGTGCTGCTAAGCCCCCCGGCCAACCAGGCAGTCCCCTCCTGGAAACCTGTAAGGGGTGGGGGGAGAAGCAATGACCTTGTTGTTCAGTGCTACCCATGGCGGCCCTGTAAACCCACATCTCAAGGATTTGTGTTGGGTTTTTCATCTTTTTATGGGGGGAAAAGGGTGGCACAGACATGGAGGGAGGGAGGGTGAACTAACACAGCCATGGTATTTAATACACGCTATGTGAAAAATGCACGCCACAGCTGTGGGCAAGGATGGGAGGGGAAACCAGAGAGAAGGAAGGGCTGGGTGGCACTGTCTGAAGACACGTACTTGTCACCAAGTCTGCTACACCTTAGCAAGAACAAGAAAACTGTATTTAGAGCAAACACATGCTCCATGGGGCAGATTCCTCCCCATAATAAGACCGGAGAGGTTGAATGAGGAAAACGACCATTCTGTTCCATGCCCAGGAATTCTGGGTGAGCAGAAAGCTCAGGAATTTACAGGGTGTCGGTCCAACACAAGGGGCTACAGCCAACTACAGGTGCCAACTACAGGTGCATCTGGAAAGTATCTAAATGTTGTGATAAGAAAATTATGTATGAGAGCTACTTACCCTGATATTCAGTACTGAAGTGTTAGCTATGATCATTTAAGAGGAGGAAGGTTCCTATGTTTTAGAGTCTTTTTTAAAAAAATCCTTTGTTTTGTTTTTAAATGAATAACTAGACAAGAAATCTTTGACCAGAGCAGAGACGTATGTGAATGCTGTTAAAGGGATATTTGCTAATTAGCCCATCTGCAGCCCGCTCTCCGTCACCCAAGCCACGCCCCCGGACACGCACGTGGTGAAGGCCTCATTCTGCTTGGCGCCGATGTAGTAGGAGTAGAGGTTGAACATGCCGATCATGAAGGCCACAAACACCATGATGAAGATGACCATGAACTTGAAGATGTCCTTCACCGTCCTCCCCAGCGAGATCTGCAGAGGCCCGAAGCTCTCGTTCGCTGGCAGGATGTACGCAATTCGGGAGAAACTCAGCACCACCGCAATGGCATACAGACCTTCGGATATGATCTGAGGGTCCGACGGGTCCCACTGTATCCTGGCTGGGAAAAGACAGAGACCAGGGTGAAGGGTGCGTGTCTTTAAGCTGCTTATGTAGCCAACTTCCGAGAAGAAATATAATTCTATTAACCACCTAGACCAATACTGGAAGTCTGTCATCCTAAAGGACTCCTGAGCCATCAGCCGTATTTAAGTTCTGAAAGATGAGATTGAGAGGTGAGGCCAACCTGTCTGCTTTGCTAGTGATTTTCCACAGAAGCACACATTGCTAACATCATTAAGAACTCAGACTATAGGTTCAGTTGTCTGTAAAAATTCCAGTATAACGACTGATAGGCTATCTCTACCCATAGCTGCGTCTCAACCGACAGGACCTGTGCCCGTGATTCAACTAATCGTAGCTTTCCTTCTCTTTAATATTGCTCCTACCCTAAATTCATGTGAACTCAGTGTTTGCAAAGTTTCTGACAGCTCCTTAATAAACTGTAGCATTTATTACATTATTTATATTACAAAGTTATTTAAAATTACTAGAAGTAACATTTCCTCTGAATAGACTCAAGTCTATTTTTACCACAAGATTTTGTGATAACTCACTTATGACTTTTCTTGGCATGAATACATAAGGTCATCAAAAAACCCAATTAAGAAACCATTATTAGGAAACAATACAAGGCGGTACGTAGCAAAGAGGAAAAACATGCTTCTTAAATTGAATTTGTTTATTTGCTGAAAGTATAATTAGAAAAGGGAAACAGAAGCCTAATAAACGAAGCTCCATTTTTGCGATGCTCTGAATGGAAGTATTACCTAGAAATAAGTTTGACACTTAAAAACTGTATCTTTTAAAATCTTGAGTGGTAAAAAGTACCTAAAATAATCATGCAAAATCGCCTTTATGAGATGTCGCCGTTAAATCCATTCAGGTGCCAGTTTTCAGTACGCGACTTACCATTCTCAACCCCGGTCCCCGCTCTATACAGCAACACGGGCGCACCGAGTCCTGCATCTACCTGCGCCCTCCCCTGTCCACACGTCCCTCCACACCGCCGGCCCCCTGAGCTCCACCTGTGAGAGCATGCCGTCCTCCGGACCCGGCATCCCTGCCTCCCCACTGTCACCACGTGGCAGCCTTCCCTTCTTTTTGTAATGCTGAATAATATTCCACTGTGTGTGAAGAACTCAACTGCAAATGATTTTTATCGATAAGGGGAAATAAACACAAGCTATAAGACAGATACTTTCCATGGGGTTTGGTCCTGGAGACGAAGGAGCGACATGGGAATTTTATGAGGATTGGACAGATGACCAAGCATAGCTGACGTGTCTTTTACAAGAATGTGATCCGTTTGTAGGGTCTGTGTGTGTCGGCTCACCCAAGTTGTAGTATTTCACGTTGTCTCCCAAGGCAACTTTGGTCAAATCCTTCAGCGTGTCGTTGGCGTCGATGATGCTCTGGGCTTTGGAAGCGTGCCAGAACGCCATGAACCTGGCAATGAACGAGGCCGCGAAGATGGCCAGCATGCCGAAGTCCAGCATGTTCCACAGCTCAAACAGGTACTCTTTGGGGCCCTGGATCCAGATTTCTTTACATTCAGCCCATATCATGCCTGCGTCCGAAAGGGGTTACACAGCACGTCAGTCCCACGGGGCCTCCTCGCTCCTGTCAGTGACATCTGAAAGCTCTTGGCTCACACCGAAAACTCTCCAGCCTCTGGCCGGGCTTTCCTATCCAGCCGATTCCCACCTCCTCCCGCCCAGCAATGCCAGCCCCTGTCCTGAGAAGCCTGCACACACTAGAGAGCCTTTCTGCAATTAAGTCAAGTTAGAAAGCTGAAAATGTCAGGTTTCAATGTCGCAGCGTAGCAGGTGACTGGTCAGGGTGCTAATGACACACATTTTCATGTCACTTTTGATAAAGTTGCATAGTCTTTCCAAACACTCAGTGTTTGGGAAGAATACTTGCTTTGAGATCTGACCCTTGGGGGGTTGAGAACTTTAACACTGGTTCTCTGTGAAGTCTCCAGCCTGCCACTTAAGCTTTCTAAACCATTGAAGATGAGGACGGCCATTGGCACCTCCTTCACACAGAGTTACAAGGCCGAAATAAAAGTAGACCAGCACCATGCTAGCCCGGTGCCTGGGACTCAGACAATGATCACAAACACTCTCAGAGCACTGCCTACTTCAAACTGCACATACTTCAGAATATTACTTGAGAGGTAGAGGAGGAGAGGGAGGAGAAGGAGGAGGAGGAATGGGAGGAGAGGGAGGAGGAGGAGGAAGAGGAAGAGGAGGAGAGGGAGGAGGAGGAGAGGGAGGAGAAGGAGAAGGAGGAGAGAAAAGAAGGAGGAAGAGGAAGAGAGGGAGGAGGAGAGAGAGGAGGAAGAGGAAGAGGAGGAGGAAGAAGAGGAGGAGAGGGAGGAGGAGGGAAGAGAAGGAAGAGGAGGAGAGGGAGGAGGAAGAGGAAAAGGAGTAGGAAGAGGAGGAAGAGGAGGAGGAGGAGGAGGAAGAGGAGGAGGAGGAGGGAAGCAGAAAGATAATGAAGAGAATCCATGATTAAGAAGAAGATGTTCAGCTGGGCACTGGTGGCTCACACCTGTAATCCCAGCTATTCAAGAGGCTGAGATCTGAGGGTCGTAGTTCAAAGCCAGCTTGGACAGGAAAGTCTATGAGCCTCTTATCTCCAATAAACTACCAGAACTCCAGAAGTGGCGCTGTGCCTCAAAGCGGGAGAGCACTCGCCTTGAGCTGAAGAGATGCGGGTCAGCGCCCAGGCCCAGAGTTCAAGCCCCACATCTGACAACAATATATACGTTACAGATCAGAAACAGAAGCAGAGAGAGCTTAAAGATCTGATATCCAAAAAGCACCTTCCACATGCCCCGGCCCTCATCAACATCCACTAACGAGGAGAGGACATCTGCTCCATTTCTAGCAATCTCTACACAAAATCACATGGGTGACAGCTCTCCCGGGCTTTGATTAATACTATCCCAGGCCTTTCTTCCTGGGGTTTGATATTTTTTTAGTGCAGAAGGCACTAAATGAATGAGAAACCACAGTACTGGATTTGACTGGCTGCATTTCAGACCAAAGACACACCATAGCTCCTCTCATCCCGTGTTTCATAGGAATAAGCTGCTCTTCACGTAACTTAGGGAATGTGTCCCTGCCACTCCGCTTTGCTGTGGGACTCAGTGGCCTGCACACTGCAGCAGGTGCCGGGCCCTCCCTGGGGCTCTCTGCTTGGTCCTGACTTTAATCTCTTTGCCTCTCACTCACTGGGGCTAGCACACCCAGCAATCGTGGAAAGTGGGGAGCTGGGAGTGTGGCTCGCACTGCGGCATCTGCATTTGCCGTTCTGCCTAAGCGCGAGGGCCACCAGCGCCGCAAGGTGGGGCGTGCGAGGTCCTCACCGATCACCCAGGATATGATGAGCATCTCCATCCACGAGAAGCAGGACGTCTTCATCCGGAAGAGCTGCCGCGCGTGGTCCACGCTGGTCTCGTTGGGAAGCAGCTTGGTGCCTTCGAATCTGTCTGCCGCGTTCATGACCAGCAGCCCCAGGAAGATGGTGAACGAGGCCGCGTGAGCCACAAACTTCATGAACGGCCCACGCATTATCCTCCCAATCTGTCAGGACACACACGAGAGGAAATCGTCACTCTGTTCTGGACAACTTGGGACACACACATGCACACACACACACACACACATGTGTGTAAGAACAAACATCTGGCTGTCTCAATGCTGTTGTAAAATAATTACGTCCACTCGTGTAGCCACTGGCAGAATCATAAACTTAGTCAGTCTAGTAAGATTTCATTCTTCACCTATCCATGCTGGTGTTCTCCAGTAAGGACATCTAAAGGTTCTTGAAATGCTACAGCATGGTGGCAAAAATGTGGAGTGGAATATGAGCATTATTCGTGGCGAGCAAGCTCACTCAATGGGCCTAAAGTACTGAGGAAATATCTAAGCAGGTCTAGGGCTCCACACGGAGATCTGCGGGTGACAGGTGTCACTCAGCCCCAGTGAGTGAGAGGCAAAGAGATTAAAGTCAGGGGACCAAGCAGAGAGCCCCAGGGAGGCCCCGGCACCTGCTGCAGTGTGCAGGCCACTGAGTCCCACAGCAAAGCGGAGTGGCAGGGACACATTTCCTAAGTTACGTGAAGAGCAGCTTCTGCCTATGAAACACGGTCTGAGAGGAGCTATGGTGTGTCTTTGGTCTGAAATGCAGCCAGTCAAATCCAGTACTGTGGGTTCTCATTCAAAGTTTCAGTCTCATCTTTTTTTACAGCAAGAAAACAGACCAATACAAATGAAAAAAAAAAAACCAAGTTTTCAAGAAGGTAGTGTGTTTCCATCATCATGTTCTCTATACCTATTACAGACAGCCGAGCATTTATCTATTTTTAAGATGGGGTTTCAGCCTGAAACCCAGGCTGGCCTCAGACTCCCGATCCTGGCCTCCTGAGGCCGGGAATACAGGCATGCACCAACACACTTGGCTGGGTTTCTCTTTAAAATAAGAGAAATTTTGGTACTTCTTAGTGGACCTTACAAATTGCAAATGCTATCCATTTTAGAAAAATCTGCTATGATTATATTCTGGGACATAAACACGTTTCTGAAGAAAAGCTAGGGAGATTTTTTAATAAATGGAGAGATTTTGTTGAATGAACTAAATAAACTGTGTACCCAGAAAATCATGGATGGTAATCACTGACAGAAATACTTACCTTTAAATATTATATGTCATACTCTTTTTAGGGTTCATCTGTAATGAAGTGCAACCACCCAGCCTGATACAGTAATGATTAAGAGGTTGAGGCTAGCTCGAAGGAAAATAATTTGAAACCATTCAGTGATCTATCTTCAGTGCAATCAGTGCACAGCAACTGATAGTTGGGGACTACACAGAAGAAAGAAAACAAAGAAATACAAAAACATTTTAAAAGGAGTCAAGACAAACTTTGGGGACTGAAAAACAACATGACACAGAGACCGTGCCCATGGAGGTGACTATTTCTGTAAGTTGGCCTGGATCTGTTTTTGTGGATGTGTTGGAAGAGCTCAAGTATTTTAAATAAAAATTAAGCTGGAGCTATCTCTTCTGTTTAAAAAAATCAACTCTGTGATCTGTAAGTAATATTTATAGACATTGCTAGTGGGAAAGATTGTAAAAATCAATGTCTTAATCACGCTTCGGCGGATAGTTATCCTCATCCTCTCATGTCAAACTGGTAAACAGGTTTTACATAGGAGAAAAATGTCCTGGAGAGGTCTTTCACTTGATCATTGGCCTTATTCTCCATAAATGAGCCAGAAGGAAACACAGCCGAAAAGAAAGAAAACTGAGGAAAGTCAGTTCATTGTAATTCAGTCAAAACTCAAGAAATGTATACACCGCGCCTGTCACCACGGCACGGCGGCGATACGGTTTGCACAGAGTGCAGTGATGGTGGAAAAGAAAAATGAGTCCGTTCAGGAAAACAGTAACCAACTAGCAGAGGCCCGGAAGCTCCCGAAGACTCGGGAACAGGAGAAGGGAGCTGAGGCGCGCCCGGCCTTCTGTTCAGGGGAGACCCAACAAACTCGGTGCGCAATGTGAAATGTTTATTCCTATTAACAAGAGGAAAACCTCAGCTTCCTATTCTGAAAAAGAAATCTGTGTGCCAAGAATCCTTTCTAATGACTTGCCGTTCTCCGCATGGGTTTCTCATTTATATTTAGAGGGGGCAGTCTTGGGGTCTCGTGTAGAAGCACTCAGGATGGATGTGTACGGATGGATGTTACCCTCCTGAGAAAACGTTCTGGCCCTTTCTATCCCCTCCCTAGAAATGACTGTGAAATCTCAGTGTCTCGCACGGGTGCTGGTGACACCTGCACTTCGACCGTCATAAACCAATGTGTGACTGAGGTCTGGAAACCAGTCCTGCCCGCGTCTGTCCAGACTCTGCACTAAAGAGATGGGTCTGGGGGCGGTTAGCTTTGAAGGACTCGGGTCTGAGATTCACACACACCTGGGCAGGTGGCTTCAGACACACGAAGAGAAGAAGCTGGTTAGCAGAAGGCACACCGGGCTGGGCCAAAACACAGCCCCTTCCCCCGGCCGCCGCGTCCACCGAGCAGGGCTGGGCCGTCTGAACCCTCACCCGAAGCCAGGCGGGACTTTGCCAAAGCCTGGGCAAATGAAACTCTGCTAGGAAAGCAGGCACGCGCGCAGCGACGGCGTCCCGTGCACTCTGTGGCTGGTATACATGTCCCTGACTGAAAATGCCACGGCCTCCTTCACGAAGGCCCGCACAGAATGTAGCCAAGGAGGCTGGCCCAAACAAGCGCCATCGAACCTCTCACCCCAAGCGTTACTAGAGAACAAACGAAGTTACCACGACCACCTTTTAGGGGGTAACCTGAAACCACAGTTTAACAACCCTAAGACTCATTAACATGTAACAAAGCGTCTGTACACACAGGCTCGCCTGGAACAATGACGCAGACCGACTGGTAACGGGCAGAGGCTTTTCCACCGGCTACTAACGGTGCTGATGGCACAGGCGGATTTTCTCTTCTTTGCATTTTTTCTTGTTTCCCCAAATAAGTATGTATTTAATTTTCAAAACAATAAAGACAGCGCAACTGTGCTTCTATGAAATTGTCGTTTGGGGAGTGGACGCAGCCAGCGTCCCATCCCCCCCCAGCCAGCGTCCTGTCCCCCCCAGCCAGCGTCCCTGTCCCCCCCAGACCGCGTCCTGTCCCCCCCAGCCCGCGTCCTGTCCCCCCCCAGCCAGCGTCCTGTCCCCCCAGCCAGCGTCCTGTCCCCCCAGCCAGCGTCCTGTCCCCCCCAGCCAGCGTCCTGTCCCCCCCAGACAGCGTCCTGTCCCCCCCAGCCAGCGTCCTGCCCCCCCAGCCAGCGTCCTGCCCCCTCAGCCAGCGTCCTGCCCCCCCAGCCAGCGTCCTGTCCCCCCCCAGCCAGCGTCCTGCCCCCTCAGCCAGCGTCCTGCCCCCTCAGCCAGCGTCCTGTCTCCCCCAGCCAGCGTCCTGTCCCCCCCCAGCCAGCGTCCTGTCCCCCCCCAGCCAGCGTCCTGTCCCCCTCCAGCCAGCGTCCCATCCCCCCCAGCCAGCGTCCCGTCCCTGTCCCCCGTCCCCCATGCTCCATCCCCCGCAGCCCCCTCGCGTACCTTGCTGCACGGAGCACACCAGTAGATGGGAGCCAGGAAGGGCAGCCCCACAGCCACCGCCAGGACCACCAGAAACTTGACGGCCATCGTCTGCTGCCGCAAGCCGGAAAGGTTCTCGTACCAGATGGACAGGAGCTGCTGCTGGCAGTTTGGGTGAGCCACAAACTGGGGGGAAGAGGCAGGACGGGCCGGCTGGAGCAGGCCAGGCTCGGCCCGCACTCACAGGGGCTCAGCCCGCACACTCACACGGGCTCAGCTGGAGCATGGCCAGGCTCGGCCCACACTCACAGGGGCTCAGCCCGCACACTCACATGGACTGGGCTGGAGCAGGCCAGGCTCGGCCCGCACTCACAGGGGCTCAGCCCGCACACTCACACGGACTGGGCTGGAGCAGGCCAGGCTCGGCCCGCACTCACAGGGGCTCAGCCCGCGCGCTCACACACACAGCCCTGCGCTTTCTCGTGGGAAGTCTAGCTAGCATTAAAGCATGCACACACCCATGTGTGCGTGCACACACCATACACAAACACACACGTGCACGCGGCTTCCAGTGAGCAAGACTGCCAGAGGTCCTAACACGCGTGGTACCAACACAAATCAGTTTTCACTGAGAAGTGTAGTGGGTAAGTTCTCTTTGTTCAGAACTGGTTACGTGGAGAGGTGGTGTGCCTGCATTGTTTACACACTTCCACAACTAGGGATGACGTTTATTTTAAAACATTTTAAAGTCGATTTTTACTGCTGGGTACCAGTGGCTCACGCCTATCATCCTAACTACTCAGAAGGCTGAGATGTGAGAATCATGGTTTGAAGCCAGCCTGGTCAGGGAAGTCCATGAGACCCTTTTCTCCAATTAACCAAGACAATTGGAAGCAGAGCTGAGGCTCAAGTGGTAGAAGGCCAGCTCTGAGTGAAAAAGCTGGGAGACAGCACTCAGGCCCTGAGCCCAAGCCCCAGGACTAGCACCCCAAAAAAGGTTTTATATACTCTAACAAGGCAGTGAGGAGAAAGGACCCCTGCATTAAGACAGAAGCACCGGATGCCAGCAGCTCACGCCTGCCATCCTAGCCACTCGGGAGGCTGAGATCTGAGAATCACGGCTCAAAGCCAGGCTGGGCAGGAAAGTCCGTGAAACTCTTATCTCCAATCAACCACCAGAAAACCAGAAGTGGCGCTGTGGCCTGAGTGGTAGAGCGCTAGCCTTGAGCAAAATAGCTCAGGAATAACGCCTAGGCCCTGAGTTCAAGACCAATGACTGACAGAAGAAGAAGAAAAGACAGCAGCCAAATGCAAAGGTACTCCATGAAGATACAGCGGCAGGGTTCCAGGGCGTTAAGGAGTTGTAAACATTGGAAGAAGCAACAGAGGGAAAAACGGAGGGCGTCAGACACACGGTCGCCAGGCGCATGTTTCGACGTCAGGTGAGGAGTCACAGCCGGGGACGCGTGGGGCAGAGGAACCGCCGCGTGGCGTCCGCGCACACCCGGCTAGACCGCCAGCCCTGCTACCAGAAGCACCCGCTTCCCCGGCCAGGCCGAGGCTGCCTCCTGAGCACCAGTAAAAACTGAAACGGCGCTTACTTTCTTTACTTCGTACTTAATGGCGAGCTTCAAGCGGCTGAGGTTCGGACGGCCGTGATCCCCGGGGTGCCGCGTCTCCACATCGCCGTTCAGAATGGCCTCCACCTCCTCCGTGTTCCGGCACAGGTCCAGAAGGCCCACCACGAAGTCCTTGCACTGCATGGACAGCTTCTTGTAGTCGTTCTGGTGACGACAAAGAAAAAGTGAAAGGTGGAGGCAGCTGTCCGCGGGCTACACGGGGCCTGGCGGCGGGAGGAGCTGGACGGCTGAGAAGTCCACGCTCACTGCTACCGCCGTTCACTCATCTCCCGCCTGTCCCCTTAACCTGCTCGCTGTGCTGTCACTAGGAGGATTCCCCTCGTTCTCTAGCAAATAAAAGGTGCCCAGAGCATTGCCATCGCCGCTAATAAAGGTTCTTTTACGCCGAGCTCAGCTGCTATTCGAGAGAAAGGACTCTCTCTGCTTTTCCTTTGCCTTGTGCACACCACATCCTCTTTGGTCTCAACTTCAGGATTGAGGTGCACAACATCCGCTTGATGGGTCTTTAGAGGACTCTATAAGCAGTGTCATGAACTCGACAATCAGAACATTCCGGCAGGAGCCAGAGAAAACCAGACAAATACAATTATCTTCTTAACAGATGGCTCTGGGGGAATTTTATGTGCTAAACACAAGGCCCAAAGATAAATCTACTTCTGAGCCATTCGTCGGTATTCTTCTTTAGAGAAAAGAAAGCTAAGCCAAGTACGGTGGCTTCCACCTGTAATCCCAGCTCTTGGAGATTGCAAATTCAAGGCCAGAAGGGGCTAGGTAGTAAGATCCTGTCTCAAAAATAATATATTTTTACCTATGACCGGATAAGATGAAGTTAGGTGAAATGAACCCCAAGAGAGGGACACAAGTGGTTTTTTCTTGCTTGCTATTGTTTCTAATGTATTTATAATGTACCATGTGATTTTTTTTGTTGCTTTGTATGTTCCTCCCCCTCAGTATAACCCGTTTTCACTGTGTTTGATGTCGGTGCCCTTCATCTTGTATATACACTTCTCCAATTTGGGGAGGGGAAGGGAAAAAACAAAAGGCTTCAATAGGGATACAGGTTGACCCATTGTAGCAATGAGATGTACAAGACACTATGTTGAAAACGAACTTGACAATTTGGGGGGGGTGCAGTCCTGGAGGTGGGAGGGAAGGGATGGGGGGGACACAAAGGAGGAGGCAACAATGCTCCATAGGGAATGCACGCATGACCTCGCTCAGGTAGCATGACCCCTCTGTGCAGCATCTTTACAATAAAAAACGTATACGTAAAAACGTATTTTCATGAAAAATCACGGTTCATCTTGAGAGGGGTGATGATGCATTCTGTTGGGGAAAATGTGCAGTGTGGCTGCTATCCAGGTGGGCCCGGGCTCGCGCGCTGCGGGGCATCCAGCCAGGGCCCCACCTCCCCGCGGGGACCCCGGGCCGGGCCGGGCCTCCCCGGGACCCACCTTGAACTCCTTCTCGATGTTGGCCAGCACGGCCAGCTCGTTGCTGAGCTCCAGCGCCGTCCTGACGGGGTCCTCGCTGGCCAGGGACAGGTAGGCGGCGCTGGCCAGGCCCCGGTAGGCGTTCATGCGCGAGCGCG